CAGAATTTTTTTTTTTCTCCGATCGGCTTGATTGTGGACCGCCCTGGAACTATCGTTAGATATTACTTCAGGGCGGCCCACGCCGTCTTTAAAACTCACACCACCACATTGTGAATCAGCCCGAAATTAACCAAGAGCTGATTCACAACGTGGTGTGGCCTCCCCCATTAAAGCGAAGGGGGCACAAATAACTCACGAAACAAAAACATAAACACATAAAACACGAATACCTAAGGCGCCGGCCTAAACCAGCGCCTCAGGTCCTCCTGTGCCGGGCGGCGAGGCTGCCTCTGTCTCAGGCGTTCCGCTTCCTCCTTCTTTTTTAAGATGGATTCGGCGAACGCCTGGACGAGCCTCCACGCCTCCCGGCTCCTCAACATCAGGTCCACCATGGACCCGACTCGAAACGTGGACCCTAGTCGAGACTCCAAAGAGTCCCGTTCCTGGGCCCACGCCTCGCACCGGAAGAGGGTGTGCAAAGCGCTATCAGCCTCTCCCGGGCGATCCGAACAGTGGTCGCACGTCGGCGCGGCTGCTTTACGAATACGGTGTAAGTACTCGTTAAAGCAGCCGTGGCCGGACATCACTTGGGTGAGACGATAAGTCATCTCACCGTGAGTCCGGTCCACCCACCTGTCCAGCCGATCGGGTCCTATGAGGGACCTGGTCCACTCGCCTCTCGTTTCCTCCGAGAGGCGAGTCCGCCACCGGAGCATGGTCATCCGCCTGAGCGCCAGCCGGTCCTCGGGTTCGAGGGACCGGTTTCGCTCTCGGCGGAGCTCATGCCCGGCGGCGCGTTCCTCGGCGAGCAGATCGGCGGGCGGCAGTGACGACAGGATACCCGCCGCCACTCCGGACATCGTTCGGTAAGCCGAAACTGTCCGGATCGCCGCCCGCCTTTGCACCCTGAGCAGGGCTTCACGGTTTTTGGGCTTCGATCCGGGTGATGAGCAGCCGCTCGAGGATCTTCCCCAAGTCGTCCAACATGCAAAGCGGTCGGTACGACGAGGGGAGACGATAATACGCAGGCCACGCACTTTGTTTCACCGACATTTTCTTTGAAAAAAATGCTATGGGTTGCCAGATGTTATTGACTCGCTGCTGCAGACATGCGCCGATAGATTGGCTAGATGCGTCTGTGAATAGTCCAAGTCGTGCGGCTGGATGAGGATGTGCTAAAAGAGTAGCGGTCGCAAGACTTTCTTTGCATGTGGTGAACGCTTTTTCTACCTCGGGAGTCCATTCTATCGGTTGGGAACCTTTTGTCTTCGGGCCTTTGAGAATACCGTGAAGTGGTGCTTGCAGGTCGGCAGCTTTGGGAATAAACCGGCGATAAAAATTTACCATTCCCAAAAACCGGCGTAATCCTTGCATAGATTTTGGCAATGGATACTGTCGTAGGGCGTCGACGTGTTCCGGTGGCGGGCGGGTGCCTTCAGAAGATACTAGGTAACCTAGAAATTTCACCTCAGCCGAACCCAATACACATTTTTGCGGGTTAACGACAACACCGTAGTCAGAAAGTCTCCCGAAAAGAGTGCGTAAATGCTGTTTGTGGTCCTCTTCCGATTTAGAGAATACCAAAATGTCATCAATATATGCATAACAGAAGTCCAACCCATTGGTAACTTCGTCTATGAAGCGTTGAAAAGTTTGTCCAGCATTTCGCAATCCGAATGTCATAAAAGGAAATTCGTAAAGTCCGAATGGAGTGGTAATGGCTGTTTTGCATATATCGTCCGGATTAACAGGTATTTGATGGTAAGCCTTTACCAGATCGATTGTGGAAAATAGCGTGCAATTAGCCAGGTTGTGCGAGAAATCATGTATGTGTCTGACTGGATAGGAGTCTGGTATAGTTCGGGCGTTCAGCGCGCGGTAATCACCGCAAGGACGCCAGCTGTTCTCCCCTTTCGGTGCTAAATGTAATGGTGAAGACCACGGACTGCTTGAAGGTCTAGCGGTACCTGCCTTGACCATTTCCGCGAATTCCTGTTTGGCGATTTTTAGTCTACCTGGAGCTAAGCGGCGTGGGCGGCAGGCTATTGGCTGACCAGGTGTCGTAAGAATGTGGTGCACTGTTTGATGTTTTATTGTCCTGGGCAATCCGGTGGGACGTGTGATGTCCGGAAATTCTGCGAGAAGTGCAGCCCAAGGGGAAGTGTTGGCAACTGATTTTATGCTGCATTGATTTACAGAGGAAACCTTACCATTCACAGCCAAGCCTGTGACACCATCAATAAGACGTTTGGTACGGCAATCCGGCAGCAAGTGGTAGTATGCCATGAAGTCGGAACCAATGATAGGAGTACTCACGTCGGCGACAATAAAACTCCACGGGAAACTGCGTCGAAGTCCTAAATTCAAATTGAGATGGACCGTCCCGTAAGTTTTTATGGTACTGTTGTTGGCCGCGCTGAGGTCGTAATCGGTGGCATGGCGTCGTTCCCGTAGTAGCCGTTGAGGGTAACAAGATAAGTCGGAACCGGAGTCGACTAAAAATTGGCGTTTTGTTATTTGATCTGTAACAAACAGGCGGCTGCTCGGGTTCGGACAGTCTGTTGCCGCCGCTACTACAATGATTTGTTTTTTATTTGTCGAATGTATTACATGGTAACAAGAGCGTTGATTAATTCAATTTGTAATTTTCAGACGGTGCATGACCTGGGATGCCATGGTTTTATTTTGCGTCAGCAGTGAGCCATTGGTAAATGTGTTGGGTTGAAGATGACCTGTTATCTTAGACTAGGGTCTTCAACCTTTTTATGCATATGCATATTATTTTTTAATAATCTTGTGGGTCCCAATTGTAGTAAAAACATATATTTTATACAAAAATGCCTAATATATTGGTATTAACTTTTTTTTATAATATACTATATTTATTTACTATAAAATAAATGGTATTTTAAATAAATAACAAAATTGAAGATAATTTGATAGGATTCGACGACACGTAATTATTTACATTTTATCAGAGATTTCTAGAAATTATTTGGATTTCATTGGGTCATTTAGATAACAAAAATACCCGTAGCAAAAATATAATAACAACGGAAATATTCTGAACTTGTAGTTCATTTTTAAATTTATTTTATAGTTTATCAGTTTAGAGAATTATAAACAAATAAGTTTAGTTACCCCTATTCAATATACCGCATTCATAAAAAATACAGAAAAGAATTTTTTATAATTAAAATAGTATTTAAAAAATAAACAAAAGTTATGAAATTCTTTATGAATCGTCATTTAGTAAAATTAAAATTAAGTTGTTAAGATAGTAGATAATATAACTTAATTGTATCCATAACTGTATATTATAATATTTGTATATTCACATAACAAGAACATTAAATTATTTCAGTTAAGATAAATTTATATTAAATTTGAATTTCTTAAATGAAATGTTACAAAGAAAAATAAGATTAAAATAACATAACAAAACAACAATTAAACATAGAAAAAGTAAAAAAATATTTGATGGTATACAAATAAAAATTTAAAATTATAGTGAATATTAAGAAAATTAATATAAAATACAAAAATAAAATTTCATTCATAAAAATATTAATTGAATAGCTCGCCAGCAATAATTTCATTTTTGTGTCTTAATCTTATAAAAGGCATAAAATTTGCATTTATTGGTGTTGTATCTCCTCGAGACATTTTTTCTGCCAGCTCAACAGTAAATGGCCCACAATCATGTCCATTGGTTTGGCGAGATGTCTCGCCTATTTGTAATGTCCATGTAGAAGCTTTTCCTTTTTTGTCCATCTCCCATTCAATTAAGAAATTTTTTAATACCATTGGATAAGGACCCTCATACGACTTAAGACTATCATATGATGTCACAGTCTTTTCAGGTATATTAACCACTGTCAATATCCAATGACTCTCATATACATTCATGGGCACAAAAAGTAATTTTATTGTGTGAATATCTTTTTTTATCCATCTTCTTACAGCTGGATAACCTCCTCGAAGATACGCTACAATAAAATCAGTGACAACTGCATAAACTTGACCTTCTGACCGTTTTACTATCATTTTAATGTACTCATTAATTGTGTTTGAAGTATACCATGATGTGGGCGATTTAAATAAAGGTGCATTATACTGATCAAGAGATTTTGTGTTCTGATCTTGCATTACTTCTGCAAGTGTAACCATATTTAAACATTTTTCATAAAATTAATAAAAGACTTTGTTGAACAGTTTACTATTATTTAGGTTTATTTAAGGTTTTGGAATATGAAATTAAACACGTATAATTACTTTTGTTTAAAACGTCCATGGACCCCCTTAATGACACGCCTCTGCAGAAGTTATATTAATTTAACTCGTATTATTATAATTAATTATGTTTAATAAATAATCTTTTTTTATTTAATTTTACATAAAATAAATAGATTAAATAACTAATTACCTTTTTCTTTCTCTGGTACTTTTATTACTTCAATAGTGGACAGAGCAAGTAAATTTACGTCATTCGGCGTATTTAAGGTCAAAGGATTAGAACTAACTTTTGGCTCTAAAATAATTTATGTTTAAAAATATTACATATTTGTTTCAAAAATCAAAACTTCATATTTTTTAAAAATGAATTATATTTTAAAAGTTGTATACTTTTTATGACTTTTTCATCTTCTTCGGATGAATTTCTTTTTAAATTTGGTCGAGCAGTAGTATTAGAAGATATCTCAAAAAGTTGTTTTTTTATTTCGGATTTGTTGCGTTCCAAATTTTTCTTATGAAAACTCTTAACGGATCATAAAAATATATTTAATTATATGATAAATTTATTTAAGAAATCTGCTTTAAGTCCAAAAAATGGTTTAGGGTATACCCTAAAATCTTTTTATTGAAATAAAGCATAATAAAATATACCTTTTCTAACAAATCAGCTGATATTAATAGCGGATTGTCTTTTGAAATTGCTATATTTTTTTTTTCTGTTGAATTTAAAATTTCATTTTTATATTTTTCAGATTTTTCATTCTGAAAAAGTGTTCCGAATTCTCTTTGCTGCATCATATTCTAGGTAACCAAAGAGATATTTAAATAAACAAATAAACTATACTTAATATTATATTATTATCTTCGATAAAAATTGAATTTCCCATAAAAATCTAATAGAAAAAATAGCAGAATAATATTAAACATTATGTTACCGCATTTATATTAAGGGGGTTGATAGTTTATTTTATATTTTTGAATCAGACAAACCCCAATAACATAGCTAAATCGAATAAATATATTAATATAATTATAGTTACCAATTTTTCTGGAATAATTTTATCATTTTTATTCGTTTTTCGATACGTGCGTTTTTTTGGAATAATGGAATTTTTTATAGGATAAATATTTTTATTAATAATTGCTGCAAATTGAATATAATTTTAATAATTATTAATTAAATAATCAATTTCGAAAAAGGTTTTTAATATTAAAATAGTTAAATTAAAGTAAAGCGACTGAATTATTGTTATATATGAATAAGAGAACTTATTATTAATTTTTCTTATATTTTATATTAAAAAACTTTTTCTCTATTCGAAATAGTTAGTTTAATTATTAATCTTAATAGTGTTTACAGATAATTCTTCCATCTTTAGTTGACTTTTTTGATATTTGTCCTTTATTTGTATTATTTAAAACACAATTGGAATGCATGAAACGACGATTCCATATTTCTTCAACTCTGCGTATGACCTTATGTAAGTTTGATTCATTTGTTTGACCAAAAATATTTTTTTCACTTGCCATATCAATAACTAATTAAATAAATCTTAATAATTACACAAGACGATAGTTTATTTTTCACGGGAAAAAACGAAGTGAACTGAAATGTCGATAAAATCAACATTTACATCTAATTGTCAAGGAAACTTAATTGTAAAAATTCATTAAAAAAATGTATAAGCCAATTATAAATAAATTTAGTATAAACAATACTTATTTATTTTAATTGTATTATTGGTCAAAGAATACAATATTTTAAGAATAATACAGAGAATTATCAAAAAAAAAAAATATATATATATATTTTAAAGATATTTTGAAGAAAAACCTTTTGTATTTGTTTGTTTATTTATTACATTAGTTTACAAATGATAGAGATTTTTTTATGAAAGTTCAAGTGGAATAAATTTGATATCGGTTAACAGAATATTTATGCATATAAAATTTAATCTGTATGAAATAAAATATCAACGTTTGGATTTATTCTCTTGCAACTATTAAAAATTTTGCCCATGTGAAATTGCTATTTCCATTTAGTTATTAACAAAAAACATCATGCCATGCGATTATAATCAACATAAAAATTTATTAAGTTGAATATATAATATAGTTTAACAATTTAATTAGTAATTGAATTAATGACATAATAATTCTGATAAAAGAAAATAACAGGAGATTTGANTCTCGGAGTCGTGTGATCGAGTCTCTAGTTTGGCGCCACTTTGTTGTATTTATATATGGAACAATCTTTTTGTTCTAACTTATAGTTTTAGTAGTTCAATAATAACGCAAAATGTAGTTAATAAAGATATAATCAATCAAAATATAACATATAAAATATTGATACACTTAAAACCGGATAAATAAATAATACACAAAATAAAAACTTAATGTCACAAACGTACCATACGGAAAGAGATTACCTTCGGTACTCCCTAGGTCTTCTCTTTCTCTTCTCTTCAATTAATTCCATTTCATCTTATATACTAACATATTTTGTTTTTCTTTTTATAAAATTCATATAGTAATCATTTTCAAAAATGTTTATAAATATTTACTTTCTGATAGTAATAATAATTTGGGAATTACAATTAATCTAAACATTACAAAAGTGTTCTACTTCTAGGTTTACAAATAATAGACTATATTATATTTTTGTAATAATAGATCAAGAAATTCATAGTTAAACCAAATATTAAAAAAATGCTTTGTTTTCAATTTTACAAAATAATGACCTATATTACTGAATTAATTTTAACGACTTTAACAAATCGAAAATAACTTTAGGGTTAAACTACCTTATAGGTTTAATTATTATTTGCATTTTTAATGTTATTATTATTATTATTTTTTTTTTTTTGACAATAACGGCTATCTTTGTAACTTCAGTATATATCAAGAAAATGACAAATTATTCAAGAAAATCAAGGAAATTTTAGAGAAATATTAAGATACAGAGCCCAAGGAGATGACCGTTTAAAATCATTTTTGGAAGCTAAAGAAACAATAAAATATACAAGTGAAACACTTCAAAATGAAATAATTGAATCCTGTAATAAAATTATTTTAAATAAAATCGTAACAAACATAAATGCCCAAAGATGTTTCAAAATACTTGCTGATGTAACGGCCGACATTGGTGGAAGCGAACAAGTAACTTTGTGTGTTCGATATTTAGATGTTGAAAATATGATTACCAAGGAAGAATTCTTCAGTTTATGCCTACAACAGATACTACTGGAAAAGGTTTATATATTATTATTCAAAGTTTACATTCATTTGGCGTAGAAACAAAATACGTTAGAGGACAGTGTTACGATGGATGTGCTTCTATGTCTGTGGTCAATTTAACTGAGCTCAATCTCTTATTCACCAAAGTTATCCGCTTGCGACGTTTGTTCATTGTGCTGTTCATGTTTTAAACCTTGCTATTTCTTATTCATCTTCTATACAAGAAACACGAAATTGATTAGGAACAACATCTAAAGTTAGAGATTTTTTCATATACCCAAAGCGAAAAGATGTGTTGAAAAGTCAAATCGAAGAAAGTCAAAAATGTATAACTAAAAAATCATTAAAACAATTATGTGCGACTAAATGAGTTGAACGTTTTTATGCTGTCAATGATTTTCTTGAGCTTTTTGTGTACCTAATTGAATCGTTATTTATAATTTCGAAGTGGAATGACACTGAAACATCATCAAAAGCAAGTAATTTACGAACATCAATACTGAAAGGAGATTTTATTATTTGTTTACTTATTATAAATAAAGTATTTAGTTATGAGTTACTTTGTTTAAAACAACTTCAAAGAAATTAGCAGGTACACAGCATTGTTATTATCAATGGTAGTAAGGCACATTGTTGTGAGTTTATAAATACACTAACTGTCAATACAGAAAGTATATCTATGATAGTCATAATTGATAATAAACAATCCGTGACTGCGACATTGATATCATATAAACCATTTAGCTACCTGTATTTGTAATCATATCATCATGTGTATTATACATGATATTAAATNTAATCATATCATCATGTGTATTATACATGTATATTAACTCAAAAATTTGAAACTTTAAATGTTTATATCTAATAAACTAATAAAGTTATATTAAAAATTCAAATGCCATTTACTATTTAATTAAAAATCCAAACATTTTATTATATTCAAAATATGTGTTCCCATTTAAAAGACAAAGTTGACACCCGCATAAGGGAAGNTTTAAAAGACAAAAAGACAAAGTTGACACCCTTACAAGGCATAAGGGATGAACATAAAAAGTTTTAAATAGTTAATAATTTAAGAATAATGTGTAACTAAAGAAAACCAAAAATAATGTTTAAATTATATTTATTCTACAAGTAAATGAGTGGGTTATGATAAAAAAATCAGTCTGTATACTGTAATATAGTTTATCATTTGTAAAGCTATCTATTATTACTAGATCAGGAATTAAATATTTATAAACATTTTTGAAAACGATAGTATTATTAATTTTTCAAAAAGAAGAAAAATAAAATATTTTAGTATATAAGACGAAATGGAATGAATCGTAGAGGAAAGAGGACTTCAGGAGCACCGAAGGTAATCTCTTTTCGTGCGGTACGTTTATGACATTAAGTTTTCATTTTGTGTATTGTTTTATTGTGTTTTTAGTGTACATTTATTTTGTATGTTTTGCATTGTTTAATTATATCTATAATAAATACATTTGAGTTATTATTAAACTTTTATTACTTTAAGTTAAGACACTAGGGTTGTTTCTTTTAAGATACAACAGTACCAAAATTTCAAATTTCAAATTATTTGTCAATTCCTAAAATAGTAATTAGAAAAATAGTAAGTTTTTTTTACGTCAGTAAACATTTCTATCATTTTCGTTTGTGAGGTTCATTAAAAGTTGGACACCACCTGAGAAATCATTCAAAATACGCCACTGCTATTGTTTATCGCTATTAGATCTATTGCACGGGTAATTCATTTTCATTTGTTAAAAAGATTAATTGTTATTTACATTGTAAAATTATTTTTTATTCTTTTAATAAAGCCCATCTTATTATATAATCAGCAATTGTAGTTAATACGTATAGTTTTATCGATGAACGTATAAAGGCAATGACATGATTATTTATTAAAATGAGTACATTTGTACGACAAATGAAATATTTAAATCTTTTTTTTTTTTTTTGTAAGTTATCTTGGGTTTTATTTTGATTTATATTCTTTTTCAATTTTTGAGTGTAATATCTTTAACTAGATAATAGTGTCAGTACTTCCGGAACACTTTCAAAAATTAATTAGAAAAAGTTCTATTTGCTATATGTATTTTTAAGTTTTGAACCCCCATATAAAGAAAATAGTATGATTTAAAAAAAAAGTATTTCAAATGAAAGAAGTATATAAATAGTATTTCTCATGAAAAAATTGTATAGATCCATACCCTTTTTAATAAGTTATGGCAGTTTTAAGTGAAAAATATTGAACAAATTTCGAAAATTAGCGATTTTTAAATTTGTAATTTTTTTAAAGATTTCCCCATGTACTGAGAACGAATAAAATTTTTTCAATTTTTGAGGGTAATGTTTTCGAATAGATACGATTTGTGATCTTTTGATGTATCGTAGTTTTTCGTAGAGTATAGTTGTTATTAACAGTGTGTTGAATTCATTTACAATAAATTTACATCGATAAAGCAATATTTTATATATTTTTTTCGTATATGCAATATTCTGTATTTCAATCTCCATACTATAGATTTGCATCGAAGCGTTTTTTATGATAGTAATTTTAATCACTGTCAGATATCATTTATACTGGACCCAACTATGCTGGGTTTTTTTATTTTATATTAAAAATTTTGTTGACTGTATGTTTACAATTTTTGTTTCTTTTTTTTAACTTTTTTTTTTCTACTAAATTAACCAAACTACTTATCTATTATTTATTAAAATTATTTTTATATAGTATATAAAATATATATAGTGGAATGACTAGTGTTACCCCATTCTCAATTAACATGTGAAAATTCAAGTAAATTTAAAATTTCTTCTTTTCTTCTTCTGCAGTATTCAATCTAATGATTGGTTTGCAGCAACTTCCATGTTTCTCTATCACTAGCCTTCCTTTTCAACTCTTGATATAACTCTTGAATTATATTCATGATCTTCTATTATCTGACTTATGTATTACAATCTTGATCTTCCTCTATGATTTTTTCCATCGATTATTCCTTCTAAGATTAATAATAGCAACCCGCCTTGTCTTAAAGTATGAACTATTAATTCATTTTTTTTTTCTGTATACTCTTCCATATTAATTTCCATTCAAATGCCTTTTCAAAACTTCTTCATTAGTAATTCTATCAGTCCAACTTATCTTTTCTATCTTCCTGTAGCACCACATTTCGAATGCGTCTATTCTTCTCATTTCTTCTCTTGCAATAGTCATTTGCAACTGATAATACTGATAAAACTGATAATAAGCTAAGATGTTATGATTAATTTACAAAATAAATAGTTCAGATAAAATCATATAAAATTATTTATTTTTTTTCAGTTATTATCTTTAAAGACCACTTTTAGTTTGAACTATATTTCAGTGATTTTTTTAAAAAAATTTTTATCCTTATCTTTTTGCATGTATTCATGTATGCCCAATATTCCGCTGGGGTACGGGGAATACTGATCATTTGAATTTAAAATAATATATATATTTATACATAAGTTTATGTTTAAAAAAATTGAGACTGACATAATGCATTCAATATGATTATGCATCCATTTGTTGTAATATAATAACATTTAGAGTTTTAGAGCAACCAACAAGTTGTAATTCTGAACTCAATTGTCAATTATATCCGTTAAAGTAACTATCAAAACCAATAGTAGTTAACCTATTTAAAATCGTTATTTAAGATACAAAAATTTCGTTTTTTTTTTTTTGATATTTTAATTTTGACAAATTAATTTTTAAACTTTTTTTTTCAAATATATTAATTAAACTACTTATCTATCATTTATTAAATGTATTTTTATGTAATGATATAAATAATTTCGGTACAAATATTATTAATTTTAAAATTGACGTTGATTTATCAAGGTTTGTACGCAAACAGTTTCGTCTTCAGAGGGAGACATACGAAATTTAATAGATAAGAAAATTGACTGGTCGATAATAACTTTTGGAGTAATTCTCATTTTTAAATTATATTGGAGGAAGTGTGCAGCAGAGTAATGCGTCGTGATAAAAATAACGTAACTTCCAAAATAATAGGTCAAAAGTTGTCATCTTTTCCTAATTAGAGCATTTTTTATTTTATAAACTATATATATTATATATATATGTATAATATTAAGATATTTATATTTATGAAAATAAAATCGATAAAATATTATTTTTCAAGGTGGGTATATTTATTATATATGAAATAAACACTGTTAATAAAAATTGAACACGCATAAAAAATGACGTGGTTTATTTTACATTACATAGAACGCCATTTCTTAATCAAATAGTTAATTTTGCGATTAGGAAAAAAATAACAAATTTTTTTAATTAAACTTAATTGTATGTCATAAGCATTTTAATGTAAAAACTGTGTTATTCAATAATTATATATTAAATCACTTACTAAGAATAAATTATATCATCTTTTATCCATCTATTAGGTTTCTTTGTGTTTAGATAGTTTTTTTATAAAGAATCAAAAATTTTATCAGGATATACACGCATAAAAAGTTTTTCTTATATGTAGTATACTTTAAGTATAACAATTGTAAAACTTTCTATTCTTCTTTGAGGATTTATTACTAAATTTACATCGTAACTTAGTTTTATTGAGGATCTCTTCAAAAAATTAAATTATAATTCTGAACCTTGTCATTATATATCACCCATAAAATTATAGTCATGATGAAATGTTTTTGTATTGATCAAATTAAAGGGCTACTAATAAATTATTTTCGTTGTGTTATATTGCTATAATTCTTTATATTTGCAGTATCTACAAAGCGAAAAATAAATTATACTAATAATTAGGCTTGAGGAATTGTAACAAATACATACATAGATATTTAAATAGCGTAAAAACAAAAGTTAGAAATTTAGCTCCTTTGAATATAATCTACAATAAAAGTTCCAAATTTTATTTTGCAGTTATTAAAGCATATTTTATAAATTTTCAATATTTTAGTACTTCTATTTAAATTAAACTCACTGAACGGTTTTTTTTTAACAAATTAAATAATCTTCAATGAATACTTTTGTACTTCTATAGGTAGCAGTACATGGGAAATTAGTCCTTAATATAAAATCGAAAATTTCAACACAAAAATAGCATCTATTAGATACGCAGCCCATTTCATCATAAAGACAAAATGAAGTTTAAATTTTTTTTTCCGTAATAAAGTATATTGCATTAGCTTTGATTTAGCATATAAATCATTTTTAAACTTCATCTGTGGGTAGGTAAAGGCTCAGGTTTTCACAAAAAATATATTAAATAATAGGTAAATATATGTGGTACCTATAAAATCAAAATTATGTTAATTTATTTATTTTTAAATAAGTTACGGCAGTTTTAAGAAAAAACATTAAAAATGTCAAAAATTACTGATTTATAAAATCATTATTTTTTTAGAGATTTCCACCATGTACGGGGAACAAGGAAAAAATTTTCAATTTTTGAGTGTTATAAATTCAACTAGATACAATTTCTGTTATTTTTACATATCGATAAGAAAAATCGGTCTAGTTAGAGGTGAGATAAAATAGTGACAAATATAAAAAATAAAAAAAAACCCAGCACTAAGGGTCGCGGCACAGTGATGATTTAACATAATTTGGATTAAGTATAATGATCTCTGACATGAATTAAAATCACAATAAAAAAAACGCTTCAATTCAAATCATTAGAGTATTTAATTTTAAAAAAATGGTGGATTATTCCAAAAGCTACATGATCTGCTAGTTTCTTATTAATATCCTGATTAAGATAAAGTATGTCGAATGAAAAAGGGATTATTAAAAAATATTATTTCTCATAAAAAAATTGTGTTGATTCATACATTTTTCAGTAAGTTATAACATTATAAAGTAAAAATGTAAAATATAAAATCGAAAATTTTTACACAAATATAGCATTTGGTAACCATTTTCACCGTGAAGACAAAATGAAGTCAGACATTTTTTTTTTCATCATAAAGTACATTACATTTTTTCTATCATCTCCTTTTTAATATTACTACTAATTAGTAATAAACGAGCATTTATATATAAAATAAATACTATTATAAATATAAATACAATGTATTCATTAAATATATTGAAATTTTATTGTAGGTCAATTTTAACATTTAATACATAAAATATCAAAGAATTAGTATATAATCCTGTTAACTGTATAAACCATACAAACAATCAGATTTTTAAAATAATACAATTGCATTTTTTTAATAGAAATGACAACAACTACTACATTTTAAGAAATTAATAAATAGCATAATTCGTTTTTAAAAGATTTTGTCCCATCCCATATCTTTAAAATCAATGTCAATGAAGTTTTTACAAAATGTGGATAATTCCATACACGCATTTTGATAATCGGCTATTGTATCAATTTTCTTTAAATGATCATTTTCCTCGACAGTTTCTTCTGGAATACCAATAAATGGACTAGATTTCCCAATAAATTCACAGCGTTTTTTACCTCTCGATTTATAATATAATTGCCTATATAAAATTGATCTTTGTTTTAACATATTTTTTAGATACAGATCTACACTTCTCAAGTGAAATATTTGTAATCTCTTTTTAAATAATTCTTCATACATATAATTATCATTATACGTTTTTATAATAAGATTTAACAACTTTTCTATGAATGATAAAGAGATATAGGCACTATTAACTTCCCAAATTGATGCTTCTTTTAATTTTATGACTACCGAAAATATTTTATTGAAAAAATATTCTGTACTTTTATTTGTTTCATATAAGTTTTTTATACAGTTAGTGTATGTTAATATATTTGACTCAGAAAAACCAGTTAATTTTATTTTTTCATTATGGCAAAACTGTACAATTGGAGTTAAATACCAATTATAATTCGAAAATATTTCAAAGAACTTGCAATTCAATAATTGTATTATGTATTCTTTTTTGAGATTAAAGCCATGTACACTAACTGGATCTCTTACTATGCGATTTGCACTTATAACTTGACCATGATGAATAATTGATATGTGATCGACAGTTTTCCATTCTCCATTTTCGACAAGAATTTTTAAAGTTGTTAATTCAGTAAATTGTGTTAAACAATATTCTTGTGGATGTATCAGATGTTGCATACTACATTAAAAAATAAATAGAAATTTATTAATGACATCTTATAAATTTATATTCTGATTTTATATTCAGAGAGATTTATCAAGAAATCTACCTCCAATTTTTTGTTAAATAATGATTTTTTCGTAAAAATGTATGAAAAAATTTTTTTTTGTACTTTGTTATCTATGATAAATATCAAATTATATTAAATAATATATCTAAAAGAAGTTTTTAGGGATAACTTCAGACTGTTAAATGGTTGGCTATAATTATTTTAGTACAATTGAAGAGAGTATACTAAATAAATGTTTGACTAGTTATAGCCAGATTTTTGCTTTTAGTTTTATGAGCTTTATATGATTTAGAAAAGGTAAAAAAATGTATAGTATAAAATTATTTTAGATTGAAAAGTGCTTAAAAATAAGCTACTTTGAAATTTTGAAAAATTAAAAATAATATAAAAGAAATAATTTTTTAACGATAATGAAAAAGCAGTATGCTAAATTATACTGTATTTATTAAAATTATTAATATTCATAATAATACATGATATGTTACATGTAATAACATGGGAGAGTTAAATTTATTTAAAAGAAAAATTTAAATTAAAAAAAAAAATTTAACCTAAGTAAAATTAATGATTTGGTATTATTTACGAGAGGAGGTTAAGGTAACTAAATATCCCTTTTAGTTATGCCACTGCCAAGTAACTTCATTGCAAATTATTATGATAGTAAATGATATATTTCTCTTACTTATGTGCATTAGGGTTCAGTAATATGTCGAAGTTGAAATTATCGTAATAATTTTCCTTTGTGTTTGTATAAATTAAATTTAGACCTTTTAATACGAAAAAAAAGAAATCATTTTCAATACATTTTTGGGATAAATATTCCTCTTTGTATTTATACTTTAAATCTGGTCGCTGAGGTATAATAAATACTGTACTAATATCATTTAAAACAGAAATTGCTCTTTCAGTCACATTATTAATAAGTTCTTTTGTTTTAGAAATAACTAGTAGCGCTTCGTTGATTTTGGATTGATTATTTTCATCTTGGTTGCTTACAAGACAAGTCTGATCTTTTATCTGAATGGAATCTATAAATTGCTTAACCAAATAAACTTCATCAACTACAGTATATGGGTTACGTGGAATTTTTACAAAAATACGTTTAACATCTAAATAACTCAGAAACCACATTACTTGGTATATGCTATTGAACATCGCAGTAGATTTCGTCATTCCAATTTCAAGTAATGATGTGCAATTAATAAAATTGTAAAAGAATTTTGCTGTTAAATACTTTATACATTCTTCTACTATTATATTAATGTGTTCAACGAAAGTCTGCAGTATTTCTATATATTTAAAGTTAAATACACTTACAATGTAACTGAAAATACGCAAAAAATTATTCTCATCAATTTTTAATGCCGATAACTCTTCTACGCTAATAACATTGCCTGAGTCCTGAATCAATAAATCGTTATTTATTGAGTGCCATCCTGTTTGATGGCAAATGTAACTTACTACTTGAGTCAAATATTTAAAATATTCTCTCCTTATCGGACTACTTTTTAAATACTTCGAATTTTGAATTAGTGTCAATTGCATTAAAATTATAAAAATAATAAAAACTCTTTTACGCATTTTCTTTATTTGTATAACTTTATAATGAAAAGCAATCTATTTTATTGAATTTGTAATTTTGTATTTATTAAAATTTAATTTTCATATACAAGACGATTTAAATCCATTTAAAAAAATAATGAATAATCACCTTTTACTTAATACAGAAATAATAATTTAATAATTTAATCATTATTTATTTTTAACATCAATTTTTAATGTTAGCGTATACCATAACTTTAAATATAAAATGAATAAATAAATTATTTGTTGACACGTTACGTTATTTTTAAGAATTTGTAAGGTGTTATATTATCGTTTTTTTAATATTTTTAATTCAGGTTAAATATGCATTAATTGTTTGATAATTTAATATTTTAATATCCGTAGTGACTTTGATATTAAGATAGAGTCCATGTGATGTATTAATAAAATATTTTCTGTACAGACCACATGTAACTACAGTCCTCGAGTCAGCATGTTTTCCTATAGCAATATTATAGTCCACATCATATTTTACCAGTTAATTTACTTTTATGAACACTCTACTAATATATTTTATCTTTTAATATTATAATTTCTTAAATAATACTATTAATTGTAATATTTACGGTGTATCTTTTGAACATGACTTTTGAATAAGTCCGTCTTTATCTAAATAGTAGATGGACATAAATAACAGTCAAATCATTTATCGTCAAGGATTTTTCTACATTCACTTTTGTACACGATCATCTGATTTACAAAAAAATTTTATGGATACTCTACATTAAATTTACTCATTAGCATGAAAATGTTTATTAACATGAACGCAGTAAAGTAACTGAACAACTAAAAAGAATTTTATTAAATATTGCAAAGGTAATATCACTTGTAATATAATGACACAGATGGCACTATTGTATAATCGTGCAAAATCGCACAATAGTCCAAAATTCAGGTTAGTATAAGCTTTTTAAAATTGTGAAAATTTTTTTGTTGTGTACAAGATAGTATAGGGTGAGTGTCCAATATTGTGAATACACGTATTAAGATTGAATAATGAATAGATGCTAGCTTTTGTAATGACACATCATTACACGACTGCCAGGGAAAGGCAGCCGTGAATACTATTATTATTTTATTAAAAATAAAAGCTCAAGTGATATTTAATGTAATTGATAGTCATAATAACTCAAAAATATGTTTTACTGTAGGTTAGTACTAAATGATTTGGTTACTATTTGTGATTAAATAATGTATCTTGTATGAGTACGAGAGTTAACAATCATAGGTATAATATTAATTTACATAAAAAAAACACTGAATCAAAGATAAATACAATTTTTTGAATAGTTTGTGACGTAAAAAATTGACCTAATCATTAATAGTACTATTTAACACATTAGTTAATTAAATTAGTTATTGTGAACATCATATAATTAAGTGTAACTGCTCGGCAATTGGTAATGCGGTGTTATTGTCTAGATAGTATTAATTTCGTGGTGAATAAAAACTAATTTTGAACATTATAATTCAGTAATAACATAATTACATTTTCCTAAATAATGCAGTTGCACATTCCCTTTTTCTATTTTATCTGTTGTACAATCGTTCATAACAAATTATCATTGTGATAACAAAACGCCCAGCTGACCACTACAGTACTGTCAATCATTTAACCGGTCCCAGATGTCTGTCAACGAGGCATGTACTGATGTCGGCGTTTGTTTCCCCTTCCGGTCCATGTGTGTCGTCGCCGTCAAGTGGTCTGGCCGTTTTGTTCAAATGTGTTTTGGCCAGTCGTCTATTCTGTCTCCAGCCTTCTACTTAATTTTATTTTGCGTATCTTGAAAATCTTATGGCTGCCTAACTTTACTTTTGGCCCTGGCGATCGAGTCATGGGTGAAGATTCATTTGTTGGCTACGGCCTGGGCATCATGATAATATAATTTGGTAACTTTGTACAGCATTCTCGTTTTTCTTTATTTTTGTCCATTTCATTGTTTCTTCTATTCATGCATTGTCACGAGGTTTCTTTAAAAATGACATTAATATATTTTAAATATTTTAATATGATTATTCTATCTGATCTCTTGGCATATTTGCTCATTGACTATTGGTAAATTATTGTAAAATATCATTTTCGTCCATTCTATCATTATTTTTATTATGTTGAGTGTAATAAAACCTCACATGTGTTAGACCAATCTAGACGTGCTTAGCAGTCTCAAGGCTCGGTATAAAAGGCCTAGATCCATATTGACCGATGTCATGTTCTTAGTTTGAGCATTATTGCAATGATAACCATTTTATTTTATTCAATATTGGAATGTACGATCCTGTCCCTTGGTCAAATCGAACATAGTCAATACAGCAGTGTCAGAGATTATTTTTTCCCTCGTGTCCCTTTTATTTTATTTGTCCTTTAGCTCGTTTAATAATTTGTAATAATTTTAACTATGACTTGAAATATGTTATATAAAAGAATTTGTAATTTTATTTTATTTTGAACATTTGTAACTGACATTTATTTTATTGTACTTTGGGCATTATTATTTTAGTTAAACTCATTATATAAAATAGAACATCATCGCCTATACTACTTGTCTACCAGTTTTTAATTCCTTTTCCCCTAGAGTTAAGGTAAAAACTTAGTAAATTAAAACAACAAATGTATCAGTTATATTTAAAATTCCACAATGCTCTGGTCTGGTAGAGCCTCGGTTAGTGGTGAATCCAACTTCGTTTGGATTTATGTGATTCATCGGTGATAACCTCATGGTTAGTTATCGGTGAACGTCACAAGTTATCTCAGTATAAACATTTGTTTGACCTAGATAAGTTAAAAATTAAGTTAATATTGTTATATCATTATTGGTTTATTAATAAAATTAATAAAAAGAATAATGGCTTTAAACTCATTTTTCTCTATGAAAATTATTATTTTTTAAGGAAATGTAAAATATTAAGTGTGCTTTAACAATTGTTTAAATACAATAGTAAAACTGAAGCCTTGAATTATTTTGACATACGAAATAATAATTTCAGATTTATAAATGACATAACATTTTTTTTTAACACTAAAAAATGTTTTAGTTATATGATTTCACTGTGTAACATAATTTAAAAACTAATTTTAAATATTTCTTTCGTTTTTTCTTCACCTAAATCCGAACTACTTGGGATAGGCCACTCTTATCCTAAATTTCCACTTGACACAATCTTCCACATCATCTACGCTCACAACAGCTGTCCTCATATCGAATTTAATAACATTCATCCATCTCTTCTTTGGTCTTCCTCTAACTCTTCTTCCTTCAACATCCATTTCTGTAACTGTTCTTGTAGCTTCCGATTCTTCTCTTCTCAAAACAAGACCAAACTATCCAAGTCTATTTTCTCTGATATTTTCCATGATTGATGCTACACCTATACTCCCATTTATATGTTCGCACCTTATCCTATCTTCTCTAGTCACTCCACTCATCCATCTAAGCAAATTCATCTCTGGTACACTTACTCTGTGCTTTACTTTCTTATATACCGCCCAACATTCTGAACCATACATCATAGCTGGTCTCACTACAGTCTTGTAGAATTTACCTTTCAGCCTTATTGGAATTTTTTTATCGCATAAGACACCAGACGCTTTTCTCCACTTAAACCATCTGACACGGTACCGTATATTTTGCGATATCCGATAGTTTTGGCGAAGAAGAAGGACGGTTCGTTCCGCCTTTACGTTGATTATAGGAGATTGAATGAGGCTACTATCTCTGACGCTTACCCCATGCCTAACCTTAACGATATGATCAGAAATATGCGAGGAGCTCAGATATTTAGTGTGTTTGATCTCAAAAGCGGATTTTGGCAGGTCTCCCTCAACCCCAACGTCCGCAAGTTTACCGCTTTTCGAACCCGAAGAGGACTTTATTAATTTAGAATCTTACCCTTCGTTTTAAAAAGCTCCCCTGTGACTTTTGTCCGCCTAATGAACGAGGTACTAAGAGGATATTTGGGTAACTTCGTACAGGTCTATTTAGATGATATAGTAGTATATTCAAATAGCTTGGATGACCACTTAAACCACTTAGAAAAAGTACTCGAGCGGCTAAAAAGACATGGACTAACATGCCAAGTAAAAAATTGCAAAGTAGGGTTTCCCGAAATCACTTTTCTCGGTCATTTAGTCCACGCAGACGGGATCGAAAAGCACCCAGAAAAACTCGAAGCTATACGCGCTTTTTCACCCCCCCCGAAACGTAAGAGATCTTCGTAAATTTTTAGGAGTCTGCAATTGGTACAGCCAATTTGTAGATAACTACGCCGACACCGTAGCCCCCATAAATGATTTACTGAAACAAGGAAGTAAATGGTCTTGGTCGACAGCTGCACAAATTGCCTTCGAAAAGGTAAAAACTTCCCTATGAAACTCGCCAAGACTATCTCCTCCTGACTACTCAAAACCGTTGCCAGTGAGATAGTGTAGGTGTTGGAGTAATTCTTTTTCAAAAGGACGATCACCCTGCGGAAAGGCGAATAATTGCTTACGCTAGCAAAAAGTTATCGGAGACGCAAAAGCGATACGCAGCGGTAGAGAGAGAGTGTCTCGCTATTATATGGGCGACAGAAAAATTCCGTCCTTATCTAGAATATCACCCCTTTGAATTGCTCACAGACAATTCAGCCCTTGTCTGGTTACACAAAGCTAAAGGCAACAATTTTAAATTGACCCGATGGTCACTCCATTTAGGTAATTTTACCACCACACATGTCCCTGGTAAACTTAACAAGAGCCCAGACATGTTGTCACGCCACCCCGCCGCCGTAAATGAAGATACTCTCGATGAAAACCTTCAGGGCGCCCCGATTGTTCAGCTGCACAATTCAATAAGTAGGCCCCACGATAGTGTCTTTGCTATTACCCAAGCAGTAGATAAGCAAAACAGCTTACCGTTTACGGAGACTGAAATAAAAGAATGGCAATCAGCGGACCCTAAATTAACACTACTAGTCGAACATTTGTCTTCGGATTAACCTGCGCGTAATACTAGACAGGCCAACATTAAGAAAAACGAGTTCGTTTTACATAACGGGTTGATTAGAAAACGTATAGGGAATGACATGCCAGTAGTG